GACTGAGGGGAGACATGATTGAGGTTTATAAGATTATGCATGGGATAGAGCAGGTAGAGAAAGAGGTACTTTTCTCCCTTTCTCACAATACAAGAACTCGTGGGCACTCAATGAAATTGCTGAGTGGTCGGGTTAGAACGGATAAAAGGAAGTACTTCTTCACCCAAAGAGTGATTAACACATGGAATTCACTGCCACAGGAAGTGGTGACGGCTACAAGCATGGACAGCTTCAAAAGGGAATTAGATAAGCATATGGAGCAGAGGTCCATCAGCGGCTATTAGCCACGGTATAGATAGGGGGTCTGGGGCAAGTGAAGCTCTGTCTTCTTGGTGCTTGGGGGGGTCAACAGTGGGAGGGCTTCTAATGTCCTGGCCCCACTGGTGGACCTCCTGAGGGCACTGGTATTTCTGGCCACTGTGTGACACAGAGTGTTGGACTGGATGGGCCTTTGGCCTGATCCAACATTGGCGTCGCATCTCTTATGTTCTTATGTTCTAATGCAGGATTGCCAAATGATCAGGAAAAACAGAGTCCAGTCTGCTCTTCTGCTTTCAACAGCAGCTTGATCTGAAGAAATCAGCAGGTGGTGCTTCAGGTGACATGGGAATAAGCCATATTGCCCATAAATGCCTAAACCTCAAGTTGCCCTAAACATCAAGAATCAGGATAAAGATTTATTTGCATACACCTCTGGGGAAACCCCTGAAGAAGGAACACAATCCTAGCACAAACACACATGAATCTGACTTATACTGAATTGGACCATCTGTCCACCGAAGTCAGTATTGTCTACTCAGACTGACAGAGGCTGTCCAGGACTGTGGCTGTGATTCTCTTGCCTTGAAAACCCCATGGGGTCACCGTAAGTAAGCTGTGACTTGGTGGCACTTTCCACCATCCTACAACTAGCAAGAGAAACATTATGTGCAGTAAGCAAATCTGTTTGAAAATGTGGCTGATTTTCACAACTTCTACTGATTACAACACTTAAAGTGCAATCCTAAACAGAGCGTACGCCCTTCTCAATCCACTGGGCTTAGAAAGGGTTACCTTTGCTTAGGCATTCCTACAAGGACAAGCAAGACAATGACTGTAAACTATCTTTATAGCTTTGTGAGCTGCCTTGGTTGCAAATACTGGAAGAAAGGTAGAGTACAAACATCCTCAATAAAACAATAGCAGTTCAAACTACACTGGAGTGTGCAACGCCAGCAAGCACAGGCATCTGGAAATTGTAGCTTCCGCCCTCTCCACTGTTGCACAATAGCAGTTCAAACTACACTGGAGTGTGCAACACCAGCAAGCACAGGCATCTGGAAATCGTAGCTTCCTGTGCAATCCTGGCACATGCTGAAGGCCTCAGATACTACATCGCCCAGAATGCAACTGTGTGGTGAGAGGGGCCCTTTAGATTTTCAGACATGGTGCCTGCACCATTGCTTGAAATATCAGAGTTTTTCCCTGGAGACGGAATGGAGAATTTTTTTAAAAAAATTGTGACTCAAACAGAATAAAACAAGAACGCAAGGAGACCTTTCCAAAGCTGTTTGGTGAGGGGGCAGGGCACATTTGGGAGGTGGCATTGCCCTTGACAGCCCCCCCTCCCGGGTGGCTGTGGGCCTGGTTGTGAATCATGACAAAGCCGTCTCTCCCCTCAACCTACAGCGCAACTGGGGGGGGGGCAGGAGTATTCAAGAAGCCAGCCAGCAATTAGGCCAGCATATCCTGGAGATACACCAGAGTAGCAGCCCACTGTTGCTGAGCTCCAGATACTTGCTGGCACATTAACACCGTGGACTCCCACCAGAGCACTGCTGGTGCACCCCTCTGTGCAGGCAGGGAAAGGGCAGGCTAAGGGGTGTGGCAGAAGTCAGTCAGCTCCCTAAGCTGCCCAACCTGGGAATGCTCCCGGCACTGGCATAATGTTATGCCAGCAAAACCCACCATGTAGCTGATATTTGCCCATACAGATGATGATGCCCTTAACTTGTTATCTTCTTCTCCATTCACCTGGATAATAACATCTCCCAGACCATAAATAAACAAATGAAACTGTCAAGTATATTTTTGGCACTGCAAGGCAGCACACAATCTTTTGGTTCTACAAAGTGGAAACATGGTATGTCACCAAATCTAAATAGTAGTGAGCAAACTGGTCCCGGGTGCATAACAATGTAAGCTTGTGACATACACCTGAACTTTTTTTTTTTGCATTTTCCACCTAAGGGGTCTTTTGGGTGTTGCTAGGTTGATTTAAGACTCTAAAAAAGAATTACAAATGGCTTTGTGCCAGATACATCCACTGTAATTACTTCAGAATTTCTATGACAGCATTACAATTTCTTCTAAAGGAATCCTGTGAACCTCTTCCAGCTGCAAAAACAGCTATGCTGTTTATACTAGTAAGAATGAAAGACTAAAATTCTCTCAGAAGGAACAACAAAAACAACCATTCATTGTTCTATCAGATAAACTACATATAAGGTGCACTTTATTTGAAAAATAAAAGGAAATTAATTCAAAGCTGCCCTTCCAGATACAAATGTATTCAACGTTTGGAATCTTGGTTTATAGGAAAAGTGCAAACCATCGTTTGGTCTGTTTAGATATAACAACAAACTGTGGTTTGCCATATGTCCCCCACCCCCATAACTTTAAAACTATAATGTTTGAGAGGAGAAGAAGGAGGGACTGTGTGGGGCTGCTCGGCAAAAACATGTGATAGTCTGCAAAGAACAGAGAGATAAAACAGTATTTTTTTATACAACAATGCTTAAGAAACATGCCATGGAGAAACACATTTGACCTATGAATGATCCAACCTAGTCAGAAACAACATATGACTAAACACCTTGGAATGCACTGTTCATGCAGACAGAAGATGCTATATTAACGGTGATATGCATAGGATAAGACATTATATTATTACTGCAACACTTGTAAAATGCAATACATGTTGATAATGTTACCATACCACTGTGTTACTCAAGACTATTTGCCAAGTTGCTGTTTCAGTAACGTGGAGTAATAAAAAAGGTTCCCTACAGCTAATGCATAATATTCCTTTGCTCTATTGATTTTATAAAAGAAAAATATTCAAGTCAAACAATTCTCCAAACCCAAATACCAAAAATAAAAATGGCTCGCCGTTCAGTGAGCAATCTGGGTCAATTTTAAATATAAAGTAATTACGAAAATGCTGTATGTTGCTCATAATATGACAGCATGAAATCTACTAGTGAATTGGTTGTTTAGATCATTAAAACACAACAAAATGCTGGATTAGGAGGACCATTGGTATGAACTGGCAGGGCTACTACTTCCAACAGTGGTTGTAAGATTCTCCAAAACACCCACAAGCAAAGGCACAAAACCAAACCTTCCCCCATGTATTTACATCCCAGCAGCTGGAATTCTGTGGCATACCATATGACAGATTAGTCCATCAATCTGTTTAATCCCTGTTTAAAACCACCAATGCTAGTGACCCTATATCACGTGGTAGAGAGTTCCAAAAGTTAATTAAGTGCTATATGAAGAAGTACTTTATCAGACAATCCAGCTTTGCACAAACAATTATCACATGCCCCTCACACACAAACAAAAACAACCTGGGCTGGTTTTAGCAACAACAACCACCACCTCTGTACACCTTGTGTTTTAATGACCTGATGATACTAAGGAAAATATCCTTCTATTACTACATATATTCTGGATTAGGCAAATTGTTAAAAAATATGTTGCTGTTAAATGTCAGTTAAATGAAGTGAAAGAGTAATACAAGTTTATCTTTCACCATCATTTGTTTAGCCTTTAGTGTTTAATACACATTACCTCAGCTGCTTGGGTTTCCTGATGCAACAAAGTCAAACCTGTGAGATCTTCCAAGAAAGAGTGAGATGAATTAAAAACCTTTGCTAGGAAAGTAAAGCCTTCTCTTTCATACTGGTCAAGGACCTACACATAAAAAAGAAGAAAGAACAGTGTCAATGCTTCTTTGTTGTGCTAGAATCAAATCTATCTAATAAAATTGTTCATATTACAAGACAAAGAAGCTATTTATTTAAAAAAATTACAACAAACATGTAAATCATATCCTCCCAATTTAAATTTACGGGAAATATGGATGTGTTTTGCTTACACTGAAAGAGAATCATAAAAGTAACTTTAAGCTAAGATTCTCAAGATATCTTTCGACAATACAGCCTTTCAGAAGCAAGTGTCAGTTGCTAACCAACTTAACCACAAGCACCTGTGAACTGCAACAGAGCCCTTTGCAACCAATGCAATTTATTCTCCCAGGTAACAGCGGTTTATTTGTTACAAGCATCATCTCAGTTAAATCTCTGCATGAATCCATCTCAATAAGTCCCTGATACAGGAGTTGTTTAAAGCAAAATCTAAATATCTAATGTTCTTGTGATGCGTACAATTAAAAAGAAGGTTCAGCAATATAAAAGAAATAATATACAGGGTTAGGGTACAGTCTGAATTTGCAGAACAATCAGCTCTATGACCAAAGTAAAAGAAACACTATGATGCCCGATCAGATCTCTTCTCTCTAAACTTCTATAAACAGCCAAGAGGAGGTTCAGTTTGGATCAGGACTATGGGGCTGGATTGGGGCAGAGAGGTGTGACCCTTCTTCATTCCCTGTGCCCTTTTCCAGATGTAAAACTTGGGCCTTTGAGGTAATAG